GCGGCGCAGACACGCTGTGACTTGTGCCATGCCGTGCCGTGCCGTGCCGTGCCGTGCCGTGCCGTGCCGTGCCTTGCCTTGCCTTGCCTTGCCTTGCCGTGCCGTGCCGTGCCGTGCCGTGCCGTGCCGTGCCGTGCCGTGCCGTGCCGTGCCGTGCCGGCCGTGCTTTACCATGTCGTGCCATGCCGTGACGTGCCGCAACCGTGCCGTGCCGTGCCGTGCCGTGCCATGCCATGCCATGCCATCCAGCCATGCCATGCCCCGTGCCGTGCCGTGCCGTGCCGTGCCGTGCCGTGCCGTGCCGTGCCGTGTCGTGACGTTACGTGCCGTGCCGTGCCGTGTCGTATCGTGCTGTGTCTTATGCTGTGTCGTGTTATCACGCGGCGTGTCGTGCGAAGCCGACGCGGCCCTGACTGGCGATGCGGCTGCGGTTCAGTCGCGAGTCGGGCGCGGCCGGAGCGGCACTGCGTTTCAGCGGTGGCAGCCCGCCCGAGCGCGGGTGTGCGCCCGGACCGTCTCCGCGCCCGCTGCCGGGGTATGACCGGTGCCTCGCGCGGCCGACAGGAGGACATCGAGTTCCGGTTCACGCTGGGTCTGACGTCACTGGCTCGCCGTTACCTGGGCGCCGCCAGCAGCAAGATCACCCTGCTGGGCCTGGCCGAGCCGGTGAGATGGCCCGGCGGTTCGGCGCGGCCCAGGCTGCGCCACCGGTCACCTGTGGGGAGGTCCGGGGGAGACGGCGGACCAGTAGTCGCCTCAGTGGGGTTTGATGGAATCTAAGTGAAGTACGGGGCCAGGTGTACTTTAGGAACGCCTGCGCTCTCGTGGAGTCGGTCCCCTAGTAACGGCGTCTGTATGTCTGATCTCGCCTCTCGATCTGATTAGGAATTTGGATTATCCAAATAAAGACAGCGGTGAAGTCGACTGTTCCTCGTGCTCTGCACCACGCTCGCGTGCCACCGTCCCTCTTTGTATCACCGGGGCTTGAGAGTGCCCAGTGAGCCCCAACGGCTGGGCTTCCCCGAGATGCGGGCACCCTCCGTCGGTGGGGGAGTACCCGTGAGTCCGGACCCGAGTCCTGACCGGTGACGAAGTACGCCGGAGTCCGGGTGACCTCCGGGGGTTTCCACTTTGGAAGCCGGGATGTCGCACGCGTCCGGCGAGTGATCGAGCGCCGCGCTCGGCAGGTCCCCCGCAGTGTGCCGCTGACGCCGCGCACGCCCGAGGAAGAGAAGCGCTCCGCCGCCGACAGCGACCAGCTGGCCATGCTCAGCCGTCTCGCCCTCTCTGCCGTCTCGTCACAGGGCGCCGTCGGCGGACTCCTGGTGGCCGGATTTGTAAGTTGTGGCGCCGCTCGGGGTGGCGCCTGGCGTAGTGAGCTACGGCCAGTTTTGAGCGTGCTGAAGTCACGGCTCGGTTCCGCGTGCTAAAGTAAAGCCAGGGTAAAACCATACGTGTCATCCTTGGCTGGAAATAAACGTACGCCAGTGCGGCTCCGCGCCGATGTTCGTGTGCGCGGACTCCCTGCCGGTGGGTGTGTTCACGCTCCTCTCCGCCGATTCCGGTCGCTGCCGCGGACAGCTGTGCCATGACGACCGGACTGCTGGCAGGCCCCGCCTTCCCCGCGTGTTCCCCGTCGGACCCAGCACTGACTTACACTAGGGCGGCCCGCGCTGTCCGCCGTTACCCCTGGCCGCCTCGCCCGTGCCCCCCCCCCCCCCCCCCGGTCCGGCCCGCCCCTCCGCCGGCCTGGTCGTGTCCTTACCCGGCGCCCGGCCCGCCGTCAGCTGCTGCGCACGGTCGGCTGGCGGCTGGTGGGCCTGACAGCTGGCCTGTACGGCTCGCTGTACCTGTACCAGCGGCTGACCTACACCAACCAGGCGCGCCAGCGCCGCTTCAAGCGCCAGTACGTGGAGCACGCCACCAGGAAGCTGCGCCAGATCGTGGACCTGACGTCCACCAGCTGCAGCCACCAGGTGCAACAGTGAGTATTTGCCGCCGCAGCTGCAGCCAACAGGCGCAACACTGAGTATGTACCGCCGCAGCTGCAGCCACCAGGCTCAACAGTATGTACCTCCTCAACTGCAGCCACCATGTGCAACAGTGAGTATATGCCGCCAGAAATGCAGCCACCGGGTGCAACAATGAGTTTGTCAGCTGTACGTTTATATAGACGCATGACGTGTGGTGTCGTTGCTTTTGAATAGCGAAATATTCGGGAACTTCACCGAACCTTCTGTCGTGAAGAGAGACCGATACCTTCTTCGGAATGATGGTTTTATGACATGACTGTTGGAACGGCGTCACAGGTCGCGTGACCACCGGATGATCACCCAAGTGCGGGACGTGCTTTGTTTTGCCGACAGAAAACGAGCTTACATCTGTGGCTGTGGATCGCGCTTTACCATCACGTAACACACTGTCTCCCCCTGACAGAGAGCTGTCGAGCACGTTCGCGCGGCTGTGCCACCTGGTGGACGAGTCCATCAGCGACATGCGGGGGGAGGTGGCGCGGCTAGACGCCGAGATTGCCGAGGTTGACGCCGTGGCTGACTCGGCCAAGACCCTGCGTAACAAGGCCTCGTTCATCGCCAGCCAGCTGGTCACCTTCGCCGACAACTTCCTGACCGATGTCAGCTAGGAGGGGTTCTAGTGCAATGAGAGCAGCATTGACTGCCGGCCGGTGACGTCATCGGTAGCGGGATGACGTCACCGGGGTACCCTAATGCGACGTCATCGATAGCGTGGTGACGTCACTGAGGCGTCTCGCCGACCTGAGATTGTGCCATTGAGCTGGCCGCAGAAGATCGGCCGCCGCCGTTGTTAGGACAGACACGATTCTGTGACCCTTTTACGGGGTCTAATGACGCCGGGATGTCTCACGCGTCGGTAGTTTGTCCTGATTGATTGAATCCCCGTTGCATGGCGGCGTTTGTGCGTCCACGGTGTTAGTTGTCGAATCGCATCATGGCCGGACTGGATTGATGCCATCAAGGGTGTAAAAATTTGACAGTTGGGCATTGGGATGCCTGGTGTGTTGATCACTTCCCTTTAAAGTCAAACGACCCATGTTGGATTGACAGCGTTTTCTCATCTGGCGCGATTTTTTCGTTGATGTAAATTGCCCGGGGGCATCGTGGTGCTAATACATTGATAATGTAGCCTCCAAAGTGAGAGTTTGTGAGGTAATGTTGGCGACTTAGGTTGGGTAGGCTGTTTTGACTCTAGAAAAGGCGTGTTCCGAGCCTGACGTGAACTTGGTATTTGCGTATCCTTACCGCACCGACCGTTCGCTGGTTGGCGGAAAGTGCGCGTTCGTTTGCCATCTTTGGCCGCGTTCTCCTTTCTCAGGTAGTATCTTGGCTTAATATCTCATAGGAAGTGGTTTTTCACATAAAAGGGAGCGCAATGCGGGTAGTCTCGCACCCTTTTAGGGGAATGCCAACGGTCGTGGTCTTGGCAAGCCCCCAGGGCCGTGGCGCAACCGGCATTGGTGCACGGGGTGGCCGAGTGTGAGCCGAAGCCCCACATATTTAGGCCATTACGTCCCGGATTATGAATAACGAAAAGATGACGATTTGCTTCCACGGCTAAGCTCTGGTTTTGCCAAGACGTCATGGATGTGTCAAAGGCACGCAATTTTCCCATCACTAGCGGGAGGGAAAAAAAATTATCATCCCTCTCTCATCTTCCTGCTGCGATGACAATGCAGGCAGAGGTCTTTTAAACTACTAAGCTGTGCCTTTTGTCATTGTTCGGCAGCTACCAGTCTCTGCCGCCGCGTGCAATTGGTGCACACCCCCCCCAGCGTCGGACGGATATTAGTGAGGCTGCCGGGGAGCCGGGTTTACTTGAGCTGGCCCCCGAGGAACGGAGGCTACGACGGCGGTGTCCGGTCGGCTAACGCCCGTCATGAAACCAGCCGGCAGTATGTGTCAACAGCGAAAGTGAAACTCGCCCGGGGTCGACGACCGCCGTTCGCTGCTTGGGCTGCACGCTGCCGTACAGCGTGGGCTTCCTCCGTCCTGGAGGTGCCTTTGGCTATGGTATGCGAGAAGAGGACTAGGGACATGTGCACGCACAGCGGGGTCGGTGAGGCTGATAGCCGTAGGCATCGTCGTGGGGGCTGGCTGCAAGGTTCTCAGATCTCAAATCGCTGCATGTGGGGTCGTGGAGCAAATCTGGGAAATGGCGGGTTAGTTTTTTCTCGAATTCATGCCCTCTCGAACTCACGTAATTTGTTTGCAGTCGCAGCCTAGCTAGGCGTTACCACCACCAGATTAAATCAGGCACGCAGAAAAGACACCTGTCCGGTCTCGGTCTAAACGGAACTTCCAACGACATACTCTGGTCGACCTCATCGCCTTTTGTTCCTGAGAACAGCTACTTCAAATGACACCGGACTATTGTAATGCCACAGGCACTGTCCTTTACCTCCGGTCCCCCACGCGCGCACACAGCCTGGTGCGTTCGTGCTGTGAGGTGCCTTATACGGGTGCACTGCAAACGGCGTTAAGTGTTCATTCGTTGCGACATATATGATGGGCCTCGCTCGGCCTCTAAGCGGCATTGACACGTTTCCTAGCGGTTTCCCAGCGTGGGTTTGCCCATCGAACCGCACTCACCAGCAGCTTGGTGCCTGCAGTTTCGCTGGCTTACTGGCGCACATCACTCGTGATATCGTCGCAGTGCCGCAGTGACGTCCAGGGCACAACGGTGAAGCGTGTCGTGCTCGGTCACATTTTGAACCCGGCGTGGCACTGAGACCTTCCCCGTCGGTGGCTATTTGCGCTTCCGTGGGAGCGCGAGCCGGCTCCTCCGGCTGGGAGCTCGGGGGCATGGGAACAGGGGCGGCCCCGGCAGCGGCGGCGGCCGCCGGCGCGGACCCGAAATCGGCCCGCGTGTCCTGCGCGGCCGGCGGGAAAAGGCCGCAGCGGCACAAACAAACAGGAGGGGTGAACGCACTGCCACGGATGTTGTGACCCACCTGAGCGTCAGCGCACCGCCGTATATCGGTCAGCTGCGGCCGGCCGGGCAACGGCCATGGGTGGGCCGCAGCACCATGTCCGCCGACTGGGACTGCACGCCACGTCAGGTCACCGCGCCGAGCTGCCTCAGACCGGCTGCGCCCATCGGCCGCCGCATCACCCGCAGGTGAACGATACGACACCCGCGTTCTGGCCAGTCCGTCTGACACTGCGCCACCGGTCATTCCCCGTTCCTCCTCGTGCGCTGCGAAACCTGTCAGGATGGTAGTGCAACCGCTTCGGTTGCCATGTGGTGGTTGACAGCGAATGAATCGGGCATATTGTGATTGTCCTAGTTGCCTTTTTCTACGTTCACACACATCTTTTTAAGCTTCTCTGACGGCATCAATCGCCAGATCAGGGCAAGGAAGGTCGTTTTGTATGTGTAACACGTGTTACTCACCTCCGGCGCCGCTGTTACAACAGCATCTCATTTACACAACGCGGGCACTCAAGAAAACCATCGGGTTTCAGCTGTTTGATGAGATAAAAGGCCAGAAACATTACAAGTGTACGCAAGAAATATCTTGTCTCCGATACACCGAATTGCGTTGCGTGCGGGTGTCCCAGTCGAGAGTCGATCGACGGAAAATGACAGAAAACTGCACCGGTCCAGCGGTGGACTGACGGGGGTATCCAAGTCGCAACCTGGCGCAATGCCGTTCGGCGACCGCTGCCATTCAATGCTTATCCACCTAGGCTTACCCATCCCGGTGTCGAAATCTCAGTGGAATGGTTACATACAAACCAAGCGTGCGCCTGCTATTTATCTGTTTAGTTGTTTTTAAGCGTAAGCAATCCATGGACAAATGTCCAATGGCGGGTGAGGTCCATTTTTGGAAGCCATAGACACACAATGGACACAAAATCAAGAATACTGTTCGCAAGCACGCATACGCAGCATACACAATCACGCATGCAACTTACACACAAACCGAAAAACCAGCGGTCTTCAAAGGAACGCTCCACAAGGACCAGCAAACCTGAACAAATTAGACCAGGATGATTTTGTTGGCTAAGAAAAGAAGACCGAAGGCGAATGCTGAATAAAACGATTGGAGTCCATCAGAGGACAGTGGCAAATACATTTACCAGTGGCTTGCAAACAGCCTTGCAAATGGCTGTGGAAAGTGCCATGCGCGCTAGGCAGGTGCTGCCGGACCGAACAGTGATAGCAGGCAAACATAGGCAAGCCTCTGATGATACGTTATAAAAGAATAACATGTCAGACTGAGCAAAGCGCGCCTTCGTAGATGCTGTTTTAAATTAGCAAGAGGATGCTTATAATGCACTGGAGGAAATCGTGACTGAGCACTCGAACCCAGCCTCATGATAATCTGTGTCATGGTCGTTGGAACCGAGCCAGTGCAAAACAGCAGCACCGCTGCAAATAACAGCATCGTACTCGATCAATGGCCTTGTATCAGTGTTAAGGTCACACAGCAAGCCTTATGATTGAATCGCGCTCGTCGAAAGCACAACAGCGTTTGAGCGCTTCACATAAGAAGGCCCAGCATCCTGTTTGCTTTTGAGACGGTCGTGTAGATGCGACAGGCATGGCTAAGTAGGCAGGTAAGCAGGACACCGTGAGCGTGAGTCTGCTGGCAGCTTTCCAAACAACGGCTGTCTAGTGCCTTTGAGCAGAGGACAGATGACGTACGGAAAGCAAAGGCTTTCACAGGTAAGATTTATTTCATCTAATCCACGCTTATACGTACCTGCTTCCCATTCCTAGTCATTCGCAGCCAACCGTGAACCACTCGTTTCTATTTTTAGCGCTTTATTTCCCGAGTATGTATATCACTCAATACGGTTAACGCACAGAATGGCCTTTTTTCAGTGATTGCAGTGATAAGTAGCAGTCATAGAGCTCATTATGACTTAAAGAGTGTGAATTCTTGGCATTGTTCAGTGTTCATCAAAGTATATACCCCATCTATTAAACTTCTTTCTTGCGCCAGTACTGATACCCACAATTCTGCCTAAATCTGTACACAGCGAAACGCGTTCCCAATTTTACAATTACTACAACTAATTTTGCGTGGGTGCCAATGGACTCCATAGACCACCCGACACCTTAAGTGTTTTAACGGACTACAAATTAGTATTTTTTTACTCAGCTGGGCTCATTTTCAGTCCCAAGCTTTTTGACCACCCACCCGGGTGATCCAAGTGTGCCTGAGGCGTTCAACAGTCTGCTCTGTTATCGATTCGGTGATAGATTTTCACATAATCCGCGTACAAAAGGCATGAAATCCTTACGTGGTCCGGGTCACATCGGCCAGCAAGACAAACAGCAACAGCCCCACAAAGCTGGCTTCCGGAACACCAAATCACACACAAATGCAGTCAGACCGCTTGTCGCTCAGCACTGCACGGTGTGAACGATTTTTTCAGTACAGCTCCAGCCAGCTATACGCGCCCCAATGATGCGGAAATAATAGCGGAGCTTGTACATCAGCGGAAGGTGACTGGAAGCTGATTGACGCTGATGAATGCTGACGAGCTATCGCCATAGGAGCTTTAATGCTGCCAGTTAGGTTGTAAAAGCTCAGTTGGGTGCCAACTAGGTTGTGGAGGCTCAGTTGGCTGCCAGTCAGGTTGCGGAAGCTCAGCTGGCTGCCAGTCAGGTTGCGGAAGCTCAG